TCTAGATGTCTTCTTTTGGGAACTGGATGACGCTGTGATTCTACATCGGGTGATATAAAAGGTAATTCTTGTTCGACAGGCTGAAGCAGGTCACGATCGGACATTTCTTGCTGAACAGAAAGAGCCTCTAAATATCCTTGATTTGGGCAAGGTGAGTATGTGAGCCGCCGTCACTACTTAGTAGAGCCGCCTCATATTTGTGCTCACGGAGGACTCGGCGAGGTCGTTTTTAAGAAATTTTAATCCTTGTTGTAGAAGGAACGGTATTATTTTCATTTTCGGATGAACTAGGAGATGCAATAGCACCAGCTGACGTTTGATACGTTTACGCCCAAAACGAGAACGAGGTGTCGAAAAATCCATTGGATTTGCGTAAAAAACGTTTACAACGAAACCAGTCATATGTATGCCTACTTCATATTTTTATATCTGCATCACTCAAAGGTTGAATGGTAGATAATGCCTCAGGCATTAAGTCCACCTATACAGCACGTATGAAGTTAAAAAAAATATTGATTGGAGGCCAATGAAATCAATGTAATATCACAAATAAACATTACTTCATAAATTAATAGACGACCAAAAAATTAACACTATAATGTCAAAACTATATTAAATTTAAATTATACTTGACATGATAATAATTATACTATTATTATCATGTCAAGTTTTGTTGAAATACACTATACAAAGTGACACGACAGCTAACGTATTAATAAATCCCCCAAATGGGGAGGCATATGGTCAGCAGTAGAGTTTGATAGGCTTTATTGATGTTGATATGTTAAAAAGGTGTTTTCTATTTCCATATTCGTACAAGTATATAAGAATTGTATTACACTCATTATATACATTCAAACCCAACGATCTGTGTCATAGGTCTTTGTTTTTCAATCGAAGACCCCCGTTTTGTCGTACTTAATTCAGTAACGGGATTAAGTTTATCGGAAAACGGTAAAAAAGCAAATTACGGCGATCGGATACTTGTACTCGATAATATTGTGCATCGATTATTGAAAAATTACGATTTTCACATTTTTGTATTTACTAATCTAAATAACAAAATAAAATAAAACAGTTTTAAAAGTTGAGTACCATTGATCACAACATATAACATACTTACGAAAATATGTTTTCTATATAGTATTTATATATAGTATGTGTATTACATAAACCATGTATTGTTAATTACTTCATTTTACTTCTGAAATCGTCTGAAATCGTGTAATTGTTCGCACTTGACTCAGTGCAACACAGAGCTATGAACCTTATCGGCGATAAAGAGCTGGTGGAAACTAAACTTCACAGCTTAGCTCACCGCCGCCAAGTTGCTTGTTTGTTCTACAGATTGTACTTTGGAGAGTATGCCCATGAGCTTCATTAGCTCATACCGCCATCTCCATTCTCCTATCGGAGTACCAGACGTACTGCAGGTTATCCCATCCACACTTGGTTGTTATTCCGAATATTCGTACTAAACGCTATAAGTCATCATTCATAATGCGCACAGCCAAGGAGGAGCCAACCAGAGAATGCCCTGCCGGCGTCTGTTTTTCCGAGTGCATGTAACCTTAACCTCTTCAAGGTGCGTGTTAACAGGTTTCTCCTGGGTAAACTCGCTCCATCGTATATGTCATCTTTGCCCTCGGGCCAGATGAAGGTCAAGAGTGAGCTCATTTTTAAAAGTAAAAAAATTGTATCTTAGTCTACGTTTCTTGTGCAATTTTTTCTTTGTGAATTATTTATATGTAAGTAGGAAAATTTTAATTGGCCCTCAAAATTGTGTTGTTGTTCATAAATGTTGTAAAATTTGTAAGTTATATATATATATATATAATTCACAAAGAAAAAATTGCACAAGAAACGTAGACTACGTAAACAACGCTCAATTTGACCATTGCAGATCGCGACAAAACTCGCGATACCATTCACGTCATCTGGATGATTGGCGATCCATCACTGTACGATTTAGAACAAGTTTTCTTTCTTGCACAACTTTCTTGTGGAAACGATTACCACCAGCGATTTTCCGGACAGATATGATATAAGGATCTTTAAGAAAAGAGCCTACTCCTTTTTAAAAGATCGGCAACGCATTTGAAATTCATCTGGTGTTGCAGTTATTCATGGGCGGCGGTAGTCACTTATCATCAGATGAGCTGCATGCTCACTAGGTCGCTCTTCTATAAAAAAAGACAATAGGAAAATATACTGAATTCAGTAAACCACTAAATTTTGGTATTTATTTTGCCTAAGCATTGGCTCTATCTCGCAGAGCAGTAGTTGGAAAGCTTTAAGATAAATCAAAATGTTATCCAACTATACATAAACATCTTAAAAAAATATCAACCACGAGAGCACTAGTTAAGTCCAACATGACCGAACCAGTCCCGCCTTCTCAATAAAAAGCGCAAGGAATGGGACAGTGACATTCTTTTTCACCAAGAAATATTTACAGCAGTAAAACACATCATTAAAGATTTAAAATTAAATTTTAATGATATTAATATAAACAAAAAATACCAGAGTCATCATAGATTCGCTGATAATATTGTAATATTTTATGAGTCGGCAAAACCGATAGAGTCAATGGTAAACAAGCTTCATACTGCCAGCCAAAACGTAGGTTTCAAACTTTACACTATTAAAGCCCAAGTATTGACTTATAGAGTCCAAAAACTTGCAATTGTGAACAAAATTCTATAAGAATATTTAGACAATAAGTACAATAAAATGCACAAAATGAAATATATAATATTGAAAGTAATTTTTCATTGAAATAATTGTTGAAGAAAATACTGATTATACAAATCTGAACTTTAGAAACAATAAGCTTGTTTCATTAAGATTGTTTAGTAACTAGTAAGATGAAATAAGCTTGTTTCATTAAGATTGTTTAGTAACTAGTAAGATGAAATAAGCTTGTTTCATTAAGATTGTTTAGTAACTAGTAAGATGAAATAAAAATATAAAATGAAGATAAATTGAAAGTACTTATAATATAATTGTGTCTATTATATTATCACAATATTCTTTAAGAACTTAACGATTAGGGAGCCGTGGTAGCTGAGGGAGCTTAGCGTTCGCTGTAAATTTCAGAGCATGCGTGCTACCCGCTTTCGAACCCTGCCGGCACTAATTAAATTGTTAATTACAATTTTAAGTGACGATTTACTACGTGCTCGCCGATAAAGAAAAAAATCCTGAGGAAACCTGCGTATCTGCGAAATAAAAATTAAAAAAAATTTCTAAGACACGTGAAGTCCGCCAATGCGCATTGTGGCAGCGCGGAGGACACTTCTTTGCCCTAAAACCCTGTCAGAAGTGAGATGAAGCCTGTGCCCGGTAGTGGGACGTATATAGGCTGTAACTTTAAATTTAACTTTAACGATGTTAATTGATTTTTATAAGAGTAATTAATGAAGAAGAATTGGCTATTTAGTTATTATTATGAAAGAATTAATAGTAATCAAAGAAGAGTTCGTATGAATGTAGACATTATTCTTTCACCATTGGAATTCTTTAGCATTGAATTCAGGAATTTTTAAAGAGGAAAAAATCAAGTAAGACGAAAATCTTAAGTAAGTTCATAATCAAACTAAGGTTATAATAACTTTAAGTCTCGCTGTCTTAGGATCCTTTTTTTATTAAAAAAAGATAGAGGAAGCTTTTAAACTTTGTTAATATGTTCGCAATATTTGTGATTGATATTAAATTAGCCTGAATTTGATCTAAACTTTATTTACTCGCTTTTGATGTCGTTGAAAATTCGCGTTTAGGCGAAAGCTATTATTTTTTTACGAAATGAAATTCTTTATTTATATTTTTGTAAATATTTATATTACAACTTTATTTACATTCAAAATCTAAAAAAGGAATATGTTGTCAAATAATTATGTGTTAATTTGCGTATTTTTATAGACTAAAACTGACAAATGAGCCTTCAGTTCACTTGATGGTGTATGGAATCTGTGGCCCATAGATACCCAGATTAAGAATGTATTAATGGTGTTACTATTGAGGACCGAGTTGGAATGCCTTTGTAACCAGTAAAAATGATCCTCGGTGCTCTGCATTTATCATACGAAACTCGGCAGTGATGTGATGCTTTTTTATGCTGGTATTCTATGAAAGCATTGTCCTTCCTCAGTCGAGCCAACTCATTCGTGCTGCTGCGATTAAATAACTAAACCAAGGCTCTATGTTATCCATGGAAAACTTGTCACAATATCTTTGCCAATTGTTATTTGATTTTAATGATCCTTTTTTTATTCCGTACCTCTAGGTTATTCGTAGTCCCACTTGAATAGAAGGATAAATTCGCCCGTATAGGATGAACTTTATAAGGTGACTATTAACAAAGACATTCTAGTTGTTGTCTTAATTTTCTGACATGCTTTACTTCACTTAAAAGGATGAAACAATTTGACTTTTATTAAATACCAAAACAGAATTTAAAGTACTTAAAGATAAAAATAATTTCCACAAATGAATTAGCTTTTGAATTATATGCTAAGAAATAATTTTAAATCACCCGAAATCAGTATTATTTTCAACCGACTTCCAAAAGGAAAAAAGGTTGACAATTTATCGGAATCTTTGTTTTTTTTATATGTATGTACACCGCTTCCTTAAAGACGCCTGAATCGATTTGGAAAATTATTTTTTTGTTTCAAGGGTATACTTTCCAGGTAGTAAAATTTTATCTAAATCAGTGAAGCGTTTATGTCGGTTATACAAAATGTTTAATTTTACGACTTGTATTTGTTTTAAGTACTTTAAATTTGATTTTTACTATTTATAATATTAGATTATATAACGAGTTAACAGTCTATCTAATAATAAGTGGCTATGGCAGTCCAACACCATACACCTTTACAACCGGAATTTAGAATCGGATACGGAAAATGTTACGTACTTTGTGGGATGCATAGAGAGAAAAGGACATACCTATTCTAATGTTAAAATATATAATATATAGAATTATAATTACAGAATGTTCAAAAATGTATAAATACAAACACGAGCAAGTGAGACCATTTCATGAATAATTTGTTTGCCATATTTTCGAGTTCATCTTGCATTACAAATTTCGATATTAAAATGTCGTTTGGTCGTGGATCCCCTCCTGGACAGCTTGAATACATAACGTTTATGTCGCAATCCTGCAAAACACAATTTAAATTCACCTTTAAAATATCAATAATTTATCGTATGTTTCTTTCCCTCGGTTGACTGTTAAGGAATGCCTGTCTTCTTCTTTATCATCATCTGTGAAACTGTAATATTGGAAATGGAGCTTCTCCCAGTGTGGAGAGGATTTTCAGTTTGATTTTCATTACCAAATCAATTCGATTTACAAAAAAAAAAAACTAAATGGAGAAGTTGTATGTATATTAATTTTTTTTTGAGAGTTTACAAAACATTATTAAGAAGAATAAAGAATTATTTTTGTAACAATTGATTTTTCATGTAATTTTTACAATTAAAATTGTTTTAATTCAAACGCCAGTGAAATCATTATATCGCTTTAGTAACGCCACTTCATGGTGAAATGATTAAACACTCATATTTGTGCTGTCAAAATAAATTGAAAAATTGTTATTGCATAATAAAGGTTATTTTTTTTTGTTATGACATATGGTGATCCGAATATAAAAAATACAATAGCATGATTGCGATTGGCTCACAGCCCTAACGGATATAATGACGTTACAACCAAACCAAGTCGTTTTTATTTCATTCAAAAATTTTATATTTTTCATTAATAATTACTAAAAACTGTAATTGTTAATAAAAATAATCAAATATTTTTTTATTGACAAATTTTTGATACATGTGCTATGTGTTCCTCAAAAGTTTTTGAGAAAATTAAAATGTCATCGATAAAATTTATTGCAACATTAGACAGTTCATGTTTCCTCATGATGTAATACAATATTCTTTGAAAAATTACTGGAGCTGTCTTCAGTCCAAATGGGAGACACGTCCATTGAAAATGGCCTTGAATTTTCAGGGGTATAGACCAAAATGCTGCATTTATATCCGAAGTAGAAAAATACTTACACTTCTTTACCATTATTAAACCCTCAATCAACGGAAAAGGTTGTGATTGAGAAACAACAATTTTTTTTTAATTCTCTGAAGTCTTTACACAACTTTGTTTATCATTTTCATCTTCTTTTTATAAGCCAAAGACACTGGAGCGGCGAATGGACTGTACGATTCCTCAATCAGTTAATTTTTAAAAGGTTTGATACTTGGCTTTCTATCTCTTTTCTATCTTCTGATGTGCATTTGTATGGGTGTTTGTAATAGTATTTATCCTCCATTAAATCAATATGAGCTTCATAATCTCGTACAGTGCCAACATCATATTTTTCTTTAGCGAAAACTGATTTGTATTTGTCTATCAAGTTATCAATCTTTGATTGTTTGTGTAAATCCATGTGTGTATTTTAAATTCATCTGACTTTATATGTTTATTGACATTTATTTCACATTTAGGTACCTGTTTATTTTCTTGTCCCACCAAAACCTTGGAGTTTAACAAGAATTCCTTTTCGTTTTTGTCATCAATGTTAAATTGTATGATTTTTAATTCTTCATTTTGTATTAATTTGAAATCTTTGATACAACTAAAACCAATGAGGAAATCATAGTTAAAATTTTCATTATCTACTACAAAAATGTCTATTGTCCTTCCAATATTATATATTTTTATTTTAAGTGTTACCATAACATAGCTTTTGTTTTCTTCTCACCATTGAAAGTATTTAAGTTTACCATTTGCATATCATTTATATTATTTTATTGTATCTTCAATCATTTAGCATTTATTAATGACACATTTGAGCCGGAGTCATAAATTCCAGAGACTTCTAAAATGTCATTTTATAGTAATTTAATTTTTATTAATGGTGGTACCTTTAGTTTTTTAGATTTTTCTAATTTAGTTCAATTTCCAATTCAGAGTTCTTTACTGTTTTGACAACCAGTTTTTGATTTTATTTTTAAACCAGCACTTTTCCTCTGGATGGTAACGCTTTCCTTTTTTTCAGTAATACATATTTGGCATGGTTATTTTTCTTCCACATTTTTAGATTTTGTGTCAAAATATGTATTGGTCTTCTTCCCATGTTTATTTTAGTCAAGAACCTTCCGTTTCTTGTAGTGTTTCTCTGTCAATTTTATCTGCGACATAATAAAATAAGCCAGACGCTATCAGGTCTATCAGTGTCCCAGTGTCAATATACTTCCTTACTTCCAGTAACAGTTTTTATTTTTTTAAAACATAATCGAGTAAAGATCCTGTTTGGTATTTAAAGATAAGAGCATATCTAATAGGTGACCATCCTATGGTTGCAAATGTCTCACAGAAAATTTTCTCCCATTTTGTCCACTCTGATTCAACTGTTAGTTTAATCAACTATACCAATCCACACTAGAGTTTACCAAAAAATTTTTAGGATTTCAATTTCATTCTTATCTTTGGTAATATGAAACTGTTCACATTCTTTATTAAAGTCCTTACTCCATTAGAAAGCATTTGAGTTTCTGCCTGTGTACTTCTCAATCATAAAATCTTTTGTAATTTTCCCCAAATTCTGAGTTGCAGATTTTTTTCTTTTTCTTCGAGTAACTTCTCTAAGAAATTTTCTAATGTTTGATTTGAGCCAATAGGTATATCTTCAGCATTATCTGTTTTCTCCAAAATCTATTCTAGATAGAAATCATGAAATTGGAAGTTTTGTTCTTCATCCAAGTATGTTTTAGATATATCATCTATCAAAGCTATCTATATTTTTTTTTGTTTGGTGTCTTTTATTTAATGTTATTTTTTACCTTGACATAGAAGGGAGTACTTATTATTGATTGATGTAGATGTTATTGCAAAAATCTGTCCATCAGGCGTAGATATTTAGGTTATGCATAAGATATTGGATTTTCCATCTTGTGATGGTTTCACAACGAAATCAAACCTCAGCTTTTCCATATTTCTTCAAATAATTGCAGAAAAATATTGTTTTATAATAGCATTATTTGCTTAGTATAAATAAACAAAGACGTAATTTCGTTTCCACTTACAACAAATATAGATTATAACATTTTCAATAGATAAACAAAGATATTTACCTGAAAATACAAGAAACAACATTTAAAGCCTTTATTTGGGGATTTGTTAGTTATTGATATTAATATTTATGAATTCACAATTTCTAAATTCTCACCTCCAAGACACATGACATTCGGATCCTGTCCTGTAAGCTGTTAGATGACTTGTATAGGATCTGTCACTTTTATGCTGTGTCGTTATAGCAGTAATATTCAAAAATAAAGAAGAGCTACTTTCAAGTATTTTAAACACGATGAACATTTTCTTTACACATATATATATATATATATATATATATATAGGTCTCAATTCCTCTATTTATATTATTACTAATCACCCACCCTGGCATTGCCTGGATAGGATCTATTAATGTGGCATTATTGAGATAGGCCCATTTAATTTATCAATTTTTAGTTATTGAGAAAAAAATGTAAAGTTTTTCGGATAAACTATAGCATAAATCTCTTCTGGCTCTGTACCTCTTCGTAAAGTTTCATCAAAATCGGTTCAGCCATTCCGAAGATTAGCGGACAGACCGACATTCGTAAACTTTTTAAAAACAGTTAACAGTTCATGTCTTAGTGGCATGCAAATATCACCCAGAGCTCGATAATAGGCAGTTATTTCAATATTACAGAGATGTACTGCAAATTTATTTTTATGCATAGATGAAATGTTCTGGAGTAACTTGTTTATTTATAAAACGATTTTTTAATTGGTTCTATTTCATGGCCAGTACAATGATAGAATATTGTTATAATAACACAATAAGAAATTAAAACGTCTAAACTAGTTATGTGTCCCGTATCGTAGAGGTGGTGTAGGTACGCGAATTGTACATGGACAAAAATATAACAATTATCAACAGTGATTTTATATATTCGTTCCGTACGTAATTCGAACCTGAGGCCAACAGCACTGTCAAATTTAACGTTCAGTTCAGTAAATTAAATTTCTGTTAGATTAGCTAACAAAATTTTTTTGGAGTTTGGTTAACGTTTTCTACTTCGTTACCTTTTCAGATACGGGAAAATTCCTGTAACCAGCTGAGAGAATTTAATAGACCACTACTTATTTTTTAATAGAGCCAAAAGCATATTAAATTTTATTGAATATTAATTAATTTAATAGCAAGCGTCCCCAAGTTTCATCTACTTACTAACTAGTTACCTGATAAACGTCTCCCTCAGAAACTATCACTGAGAATCTCTGTAGTGTAACAGCTTCGTCATGAGAGCACTTTGTTGGAGTTTCAAAAAGCAACTCCAATGTACAGAGACGAAACCGTGCCCTTGCACTGTAAAATGTTAATGTCAAGATGCATTAGTTCGCATTTTGTAATTAATATTTACTTTAAGATTACTATATTTCAAAAGATAAACAAAGATCTTTTCGAATATTCACATTTTTAATAATAATTTATTTTGAATCCCCGATGTCGTGAATGTTTTGCAGATATATTATTATAACTTTGGGGACTGCAAAGCAAAACTTCGGGAAATCAAATAAAATGAAATAAAGAAGGATAAAATTTGCAAAATTGTTTTGTAGATATAAACTTGTAAAAATACGAATAACCGTTACTTATTTTATTTAACTAAGTATCTTCCTTTCTATTTAAACCTACGAAGGTCCACAGTTGAACATAAGCATCTCATATGATAGAGATGATTTGCAGTGGTCAACCCAATTAGGTGAATTGGTGAACGCAATACCGATTGTCGCACCTGTGGCACTACAATGCATCGTCCGGCTACGTATTTTACATGTCTTATAAGAGATTATACCGCCATCTATCGGAGGTTATAAAATTTTTCATAGTCTGAGTAAGCAAGAAGGATTATGTATTTTTTAAAGAAGTAAGGATAATAAACGAGCACATAGTCTACCTGACGGTTAATGGATGTTGTTGCTCATAGACACCTACATCTATTGTCCATTAAAATTTTAAAGGCGTTGTCATCCCTGAGTGCTAAGATGGAATGCTTTATAACCATTTAAATGATTCCCGATACTCGCCACATAAATATCCATATTTCACGCTGGTATTCTGTATTAGCGTAGTCCTTACCCGGTCCAATCGACCCTATTTGTGATGCATAGGGCTCTATAAAGTGCGAAATAAATGACATTTGTCCCTAAAATTATACGAAATGTCGTTTTAGTTCAAATATTGAGACCATGAAATGCCGCAGTCCACTTATTTTTAAAAATACGAAGGAAACTTATTATATTATATATATGGCAAAAAACTACACGAAATGGTTTTTTTTTTATATAGAATAGGTTGACAAATGAGCACACAGTCCACCTGATGGTAATTGGATGCCGTGGCCCATACACTTCTGCATCTACCATCAATAAAGAATCAAAATGCAGATGTATTGTCACCCCTGAGGACTAAGATGGAATGCCTCGTTTCCAGTAAAAAGGGCCTCCGGTTCTCTACACTCGCCATATAAAATACAGCAGCATTAAGCTCTTATTTTACGATTGTAATTTGTGAGACTGTAGTCCATCCCCGGTCGAGCCGACCCATTCGTGCTACAACCATAATATAGCTGCAGCGTGTCTTTACAACGTAAAAAAAAATTATATTAAGATTATACCGCCTTCTATCAGAAACTATAAGATAATTTTGGTAAAAATAAAGAATTCTCTTACGGTCCCTTCAAACGATAAGTATAATTAACTGTATAAGGATTATAATTATGTCGATGTGTGCAGGTGGTTTTGTACTTTGAGCTGGCCTATGATTAGCAGCGGTCTTGTGATGGACTGTAATGACGATTGTGATTATCATATTTAATTATAGTTTGTTTTTAATAATTGACTAAATAATCTCTTGTTTATTGTGTTAATAGCTAAATAATTTCTTATTATTCTTATAGTTAATGATACTAAAAAAATAAACTAACCAACACAAATAAAAATGCGTTTCGTAGTGTGTCCACTCGCGTGTTGTGTTCTTTTTTTCATCTACAACATTTTTGAAAGCTGAGTAACAATTTTCCCAGTTACTCTCTGTACTTTCAATACATTGGGTCACTCTCTCATATTCTGAAATAAATGTCTCTTTTTGCATTCTGTTATTTTCAAACATAATAATAGAATAATAAAAAAATCTTTTATGTCAGATAAATTAAATTAAATGCTCTCTTTTCTGTTTTGTTTTCGGCAAAAAGTATTTTGTTGAACTTTAAGTACACAATCCGTTAAATTTTGTGATTTTCTTAAAACTTGTACATTTAGTAGATTACGTTTTAAAATAAATCTTGACATTTAAAGTTAATCAATAGTTCTTGACATTTTTAATTCGAATATCTAACAATTTAAGGACGTATATACATTCCAAGCGCTGATTAGCTCAAATTAGTACTTTTCAAACCTGTTAATATTCATCAACCTCTAGTTTTCCACAAATGTTAATTACTCATAACTTTAGAAAATTTTATGGTCTAAATAGTTATTATAGGTATATTTTTTTAAATTAATATATTATTTGTGGAAATATATTATTTGATATGAAAACTAAAGAGAGATTTTCTTAATTTCCCTTTTATTGTCAATTTCAAAGCATAAAATATCTGAAATGGCTGACAATTTTACAAAACAAAAAAAATTACAATCAAGTTGACTAATCCTAAGAAAATTAGTTACTTGAAAAGATATTTTGATTTAGGTTATATACATAAGAAATTAAAAATTCAAACCAAGTGAAATTTTTATGAAAATGCTGTGGATAAAACGAATATTTTCACCAATTTGTATTACTTAATTTAATAAAATAATAGGTTAATATGTTAGAAGTACATCTTTTTGAACCCTTACCCTTTAAAATCAGAAATAAAATAGCTTTATTATTTTTCTATATATATTTTGTATTACTATAAAAGTGGTAAAATTATATTTTTTGTAAAAACGAAATTAAATAATGAAAGTTTTCAAAGTAAAAAAATATTATTGTTCATTATTTTTAAACTTTCGATAAAATTAAATGGGACCACCTGGGAAATATTATACCCTTTAAAACAAAAAAAAAATCCAAATCGGTTCAAGCGTTTTCGAGTAATCGGTGAGCATACATAAAAAATATACCGACAAATTAAGAACCTCCTCCTTTTTGAAGTCAGATATAACTCACAATAAAACTCCGCGTTTGGATAAATTAAAATTAGACAGCCGCTAGGCTTCCCAGAAAGAGGTTACGTCGCTCGGCGCTTTACCTGAAGTTTGTCATGCATACGCGGATAATGCACTATTATAGTGTTATCACACTCATATGCAGTTTTTTAACCATGGAAAAATCCCTACTCGTACCCGCCTTCAGGATCCTTACTCCCGCACGTAAGGAATGTAACCGAAGATTACGTAAGGACGGTTTATGTATGTATGTTGAGAATTTAAAGCTCGAAAAGGTACCGTAAGGCGATAATAAAATGGACGTAAATCAGGAAATAATAGCAGGAATTATATATACTGGTGCTAGATATATCCAGCATCATATTGTTCTTGCCTATGGAGACAGCTCACCTATGCGGTTCTATGAAGCACCGCGTAATTAAGTTTGCCAATGGTGGGAACAAACCGCGGAGCAACGTATGGTTGAGGCTAGGAATGAAGAGGAGGGGTATGTAAAATTCATCAGAATATATCGTCACAAGGAATACCAATGACGTCGTAATTGCAGACACATGTTGAGTAAACGTTCATACGGCATAAGCTACGATGCTTCCTCTAACGCTGTGATAATTGGTGACCAGCACAGTATCCTGTACTGAGTTAAAAAAAAACCTATCATATGTTCCCGATCGGAAAACAAAGAAATTGAGCCGCCAGTCATTCAATAAATTTTGTTGGTTCAACAGCTAAAAGATCTTTGTCAGGCCAATGACCTATACTTATAAATACTTGAATTTATATTACAATTGGTTCCGTCCCCAGAACAGAAATACTTTGTTGAAAGGAGCACTGTCTTACAGAGTACAAACTCGCTTTTGAAAACTAGAAGAAAAGTTGACAGCTTTATGGTTTGCCAAACTATGCAAGTGGCTTGAAAATACTAACTGTGCTCTACTTGTTAAGGAATTACTGTGTGCCTACGATTTAAGCAATGTGCCGTCTATAAAAAACAGCTATAACAAGGAGCGTAAGGTAGGCTTAATGAAACTGATTCTTTAGAAGTAAATTGCCCATGAGCCGATTATAATAAGGACCCCGAAAAAGCAATTTCAGTTCGCTTTTTATTCATTATTTATTTATTTAGAAAAAAATACATGAAAGCTGATTTAACATAAACCTTATTACAGATTTCCCTATATTATTAATATATAATTAAAAAGAAAGAGCAACTATTCCTACTCAGTACTAAAATATTAAGCAATGGATTACTATCTCAGCGGTACTCTTGTCTAGTGTTTCAGTCTCCCTCTGTCGCCTATTACGACACCCGCGGTATGGTATGGGATAGTGTTTATTCTTGACAACATGATAAACACCGCACAAATATATAATTATATGACAAAACCTAAACAGATTAAGTATGAAAACCAACAGCACGACTAATTATCACGATGTTAAATTTTCGTCACCTCTGAATACTTTTTTCCATTTTAGTTCAATAAAAATGATCAAAATCACTATAAACAAGATAATGGATGGAATTACTTAAACGGAGATCTGTAGAACCGTGGAACTATTTACTGCTACATATAATATAAAATATATCTTACGTGAAATAAACCTTTCATTCATACACACGTTACTCACGACGTGTAAGTGACCGTTAATGCTTTCCTCGTAGAATTTTCTTTCGGTTACTTCTCTGCAATCGGCGTTCCAATCCTCAGCGCAACTTGTAAGATATTTTATTGCTCTATAAAAAAATAATTATGAGATTATCAATGGTATTTACTCATTGTAACGAAGAGAGAGCTACCGCTTTATTAAGCGAGACAAACGTGTTTTTACAAGCGCATTCGTGTGTGTTTATTCAAAACTCAAGAATATAGATAGATACATATGCCGTGAAGGCTGCCCTTGTAACGCGGCGCGTTATTTTAAGCGCGGGCTTACCATAACTTATACAGCCTACCAACAGTCCACTGCTGAACATATGCCTCGCCCAGTGAGAGTTTTTTGTATACAAATATAATAGGTCTTCACCTATGGAATAGCCGTTGTGCAATACTGGCCATTTAAAATCAAAATAATTTTTGTTTGGCTTAAAATTCTAATATCAATTTAATTAATTAAAAAAGAATGAATTTTTTTTTAAATTAGGCATTATAGATATATAAAAGATATAGAAATATAAAATTAGTCAGCTAATCAAAAAACAATTGATTAGCGTTATATTTTCATAGCATTTATATCTTTTTCATTTTCACGTTAAAAATTCACGTTAAAAATTCGAGTAATTATGGAATATGAGTACCTCCGTGCAGGGCTCGGAACCGGTTTAAAAAGAGCGGTTAATTTCGATTAATTACCGGTAAATTTATCGCTCCTACAATTACCGGTTAAAAAATTAACCGGTTATGATTAAACCTAAACGATAAAGGTTACCGGTTACTTAACGGTTTTGACACCCAAATTAACCGGTTAATTCCGTAAAACGTAAAGGCAGTTATGAATAGGACAGGTAGATTCATGTTGGGAGGAGCTTATGCGGCATCGCCGCATGCGGGCATACTTATCATCAATTGTCTGCCTTTAAGCTTTAAGTTTTTTCAGTCGCGATCAGGGTGTGTAGTGGGAGTTTGGCGTTTACGTAAAACGTGAAAGTATTAGAGATGTTTTGAAAAAAGAAAGGCAGTTGTTGTGTTTGGTTTAATTTGGTTAAGACTGGACTTGTCTTATTACGAAGAAAATAATTTATTCTTGTGTATCGGTTGTTTATTAATGATGGGTAGAAAAAAATATTGAATTTTTTCCATGTTTACGTTTTAACAATGAGAGCCACGCGGCAGCTTTTGCTATCGCGTGCATGGGCCACCTCGAACCAAATTACCACGACCTCACAGAATACCAGCGTGAAGTAGAAGTTTACTTCTGCGTTTCGCTTGGTAAGTATAGGTGGTCGGAGGCCCAATCCCACCACCCTACTACCTACCTACTATAGTGGAATCAAATAAAAACCTACCCTAGGACAGTCTACAGTCAGACAGACTACAACAGTATCCTGGTGACGGAGAATCCTTCGCTGAGCACCCACGTCCAAGCTACCCTACTGTTCCTGAGCGTGTGTGCTCAAGCTGCCCCGCGTATTCTAGTATACTAGGGGGTATCCGCAGAAATCGTGACCCTTGGCGATTTTAACGACCATCATACCTAATGGCTCGGTTCACATTTAACCGATCATGTGGGGAAATTTGTTTATGACTTTACCTTGGCATATGGTTGCATAGCTGGTTACTTTGCCTACGCGGATTCCAGATGTGGAGGATCATGCACCTTCCCTGTTGGAACATCTGCTGACCTCTTATCTGGATGGATATCAGGTTTCCTTCGACACCCCTCACGGCTCCTAGGGCCATTGTCTTATCCGGAGGGTCATGTCACTCACACTATCTTCGCAGTTGAATTCTGCAGGCTGCCGCCGTGTTTGGCACCATAGGCTGTCCAAGGGAACTTCTGTCAGCCATCTCTGCAAAGAGAGGGGGACTCACTGAGTCCATGCCGCAAAGGAGAAATCCCGCGGTTAGAGTGCTCCATGCCAGATGTGCAGCTTACACAGCACTCAGTTCACAAAGCACTCCCCTCCCTGGTCGTCAACAAGTCGAGAAGGCTTGATGGAGTCCTTTCCATTGTGCTGAAGACGTGTGCTCCGAAGTTGGCACCGGTTTTAACGTGTCCTTTCCGGTACTTCTACTCCTAATGCGTTATCCCAAATTCATGGGAGACAGCTTTGGTTCACACGAGCCCTAAAAAAGGTGACCGCTCAGATTGACAGGTCTATCGCCATCACCTCCTTGTTCTCCAAAATAATGGAATCCATTATAAACAGTTTTCGTCGGGGTTGATCAGCTGGTGATCTTCTGTTTTATCTAACTCATAGATGAGCGGAGGCAGTAGAACCCAAGGGGTAGGCATTGGTAGTTAGTTTGGTCATAACGAAGGCCTTCGATCGGGTCTGGCACAAAGCGCTTCTTTCGACGCTCCCTTCCTATAGGCTTCTCGAGAAATTGTGCAATTGCATCACCAGTTTCCTTACTGATCGGAGCATCAAGGTCGTAGTAGACAGTACATGCTCTGCTTACAAGCCTATTAACGCTTGTGTTCCACAAGGCTGCGTGCTATCACCAATGCTTTCTACTGCATATCAATGATATGTTGCAAACTGGTAACAACGACAGCACTGGTGATGCAATATACACCGGCCGTACCAATATTTCTCGGGAAAACGTCTCTGAGTACCGGAACAAACTTGTGTTTGATGTCGATTCTTTGCTAAACAAAGTCTCGGATTAAAAGCGGCTAAATCTAGTCCAGTTCAGACACAAGTTTGCACGCATACCGCTAAAAAGAACCCCTTTGTCGTATCTCCTCAGTTTTAAGGCACTCCCCTTGCTGCCTTAGCTAGCATTGGAATCCTCGGCGTCAACATATCGAATAGTGTGCTGTTTTGTGGTCACTTGGAAGGGAAGGCCAATTTGGCCTCTAAGAAGCTTGGCGTGCGCAGCAGAGCGGGGTAGTATTTCATGTCGGCACATCGCTTGCAACTTTAGAAAGCGCAAATTCGGCCTCTCATTTCTGGGCTGGGGCACGCCAGTGTCAGCTCCTTCCACTTGACCGCATCCGCAGAGCGGTTCGTGTCGTCGACGTCCGAATCCTTTCTGATCGGCGCGATACACTGGCACTGCGTAGGGATGTTGCATCCCTTTGCATTTTCAATTGCATCTACCTCGTGGAGTGCTCTGAGGTTCGGTTTAATCCGTCACAATTTACGATACCATCCTCACCATCTGGATGCTTGACGGACCACCACTGTGCGCTTTACTAGGAGTTTTCTTCCTCGTAGAACTTCTCTGTGGAATTGTTTATCACCAACGATTTTTCCAGGCTGATACGACTTTGGGACCATCAAGAAAAGAGCTTACTGCTTTCTAAAAGGCCGGCAACGCACCTGCTATTCCCCTGATGTTGCGGTTGTTCATGGGCGGCAGTAATCACTTACCATCCCGTGACCGCATGCTCGTTTGCCCCCTTTTCTATAAGAAAACGTACGACGAGTAAACCCAAAAATCTAAGTGCTTGATTGAGGGCTGTAATACAACTATCAGGGTGGTTTCTGGAACACTCATTATACCCAAATTCATCCAATAACTGTACTTGGCACGATCCAGGATTCAAAACCAGGACCAAATCATTATCCACAGTCGCGCTAGTTACCACATACAAACAGACAATTTTTTTTTAAATTATATACTTTCATGATATGTATTTAGTAAAAATCTGTTATTTTGACGTTACGAACAGACACTTCAATTTTATTTATCTGAATAGTTTCATATTCGTAAAATATGAAAGTTTGTGAAAAATTCTAAAGTGATTACTATATTATTTTGATTTTGAGGCGTCAGAAAACTTGGCTGCTCTTTTAATAATTCTCTTTTATAATTCAATACAAGATCGTAGAAATATCAGTGTGATTTATACTGATGATCTAGTTGATTGGGGGTTATTAATAATTACTTTAAATAAAAGACAGGATTTTTAGTGTATGTATTTGGTTACAGTCGACAGCAAAGTATAGCCGAATTTAATCATAATGATTTGTTAGATTCAAATTATTTTTCTTTATTAATTTCAGTATCAGTAAATTTAATTTCGTCTATATGGTTACCTTGCACTCTATTTAGAAAAGCTAATATTTTTTAGTAGCATCTTGAACGTATACAGCAAGATAAGATTTGCTCCAATTCCTCATTAATGCGATGTGAAAAATGTTAATTTCTTTTGTTCAGAGAATTCTATTCTCTGAACATAAAAAACAATTTTTTATCGTGTTTAGACATGACTTCTTAAACTTTACACCTCAGAAGCGGTCATTATTGATTTTTACAAAGACGGAGATAGAGGTTGGTCCTAATCACGAGCTTCTGAATTAAAAAAAAATCTAGTAATCTGCCTCACTTTAGTCCTAAAAAGAACAAAAATACTATAACATATAATTTCATCAACTTTTAAAAATATCGTGTTCTGTTAAGAAAGTTCATCATTTATTGCGATATATTACTAAAAGTAATGACATTGAAATAAAGATACATAGCGTAATTTTAATAGAAAACGTTAAATATAATTAAAGTTGATTTAAATATATAACGTCAAATTAAACTAAATCGAAACTTAATTTTAAAGTGAAGATAACGCATAATTAATTGAAACAGAACTTACATCTGTTATTTATAATACGATCGTTGCAAAGATGAAAAAATATGGGGGAATACGTCACAAGGTAGTCGCGTTGATGCAATGAATATATTGCTCATGTGTCTAAAAACCTCGTGAATTAAACAGAGGGCAGCCGTACAAAGTTGGGTGCAAGCGGGGTAAGGGAGAGGGGCAACAATACAAATCTTGGTTTTAACCGGTTAATTCTTACTACCTAAACCAAAATTTGTGAAAAACCGGTATTCCGCAGAAACCGGTTTTGGGGTCAATGACCGAAACCGGTTTAGAATTTGAACCGGTTTCCGAGCCCTGCCTACGTGGCAGCAACGCGGCATAAGCGGCACACAACATCAACGACGCTTATGAAGCGAATACTACAAACGAACGCACCACCTGTTATTGGTTTGCACACTTCCTTTCTGGAAATTTCAAACTGAATAATGAACTTCGTGGTCGTCCGAATACTGTAGTCGACAATGA